GAGGCAGGAGACTCGCTTGAGCCCAGGAGTTGGAGGTTGCTGTGAGCTGTGATGCCATAGCACTTTACCCAGGGGGACAGCTTGAGGCTCTGTCTCAAAAAAAGAAAAATTTATAGTTAACTTATTTTAAAACACAAGTTTTAAAAATATGTATTTTAGTAATGCTAGATGTCTGTGAATTTCTTCTCCTTTCAAAAAAATTAAACACTTAAAGAGTCCAGCTTCAAAGATACTATGGACATTATGGGATATAAATACTAAACACTAGGTGACATTGTAAAATAAAAAAAGACCTCAGGAAAGCTGTCACTCAATTATAAAAGCTCTTCCTAGTTTAGACATGACAATGCTAATACTTGCTCACTGCATTCGCTGTACCAGACACTGTTCTAAGTGAAATATATACATCTCATTCACAACAAAACATTCTTCCGAGATCTATACAATTATTATTCCCATTTCAAAGATGGAAAAACCAAGGCAAAGGGGAGTTGAGACTTACCCAAAGTCATACAGCTGTTGAGTGGTAGAACTCAGGTGCACATACAGGCTCCAGAGTCCACTCCAGCCACATTGTGGCACCTCTCACATAAATGTGGAAAGCCAGAGAAAACAGGCACAGCTAGCCACTTCACTTAATTTATACAATGGAATTTTGACACCCAGGTTATCCACTTTCTTACAGCACAGACACTAAGGCTTATGTAGTAAAAGAGAGAGGTGGGAGTGAAATCTCATCTCTAGTTGTCAAAGTTTTAGGATCTAGGCCAGGTGTGGTGGCTCACCCCCATAATCCTAGCACTCTGGGAGGTCGAGGTGGGTGGATTGCTTGAGCTCAGAAGTTCAAGACCAGCCTCAAAGTAAGACTCTGTCTACTAAAAATAGAAAAAATTAGCCAGATGTGGTGGTGTGTACCTCTGGTCCCAGGTCCTGGAGAGGCTAAGGCAAGAGGATCACTTGAGCCCTGGAGTTTGAGGTTGCTATGACCTAGGCTGAGGCCATGGCACTCTAGCCTGGGTGACAAAGTAAGATTCTGTCTCCAAAAAAAAATTTTTAAGATTTAGCATTGAGAACAAAACCCTCATGCATAGACGTCACATGAAAAGACCGGAAAACAAAATTGAGGAGATGTATGGAGTAAGTTGACATCATTGTGGGCTGGGAGGGCAGGATGGGTGGTAATAAAAGGTCAAAGGGTCACAAGTAGGCCCGAAGGGTTCCACTTCCTCTTCTGCCCAACTTCTCTCACCTTACTGTTCTAGATTCTCTTTTAATCAGCAAATACAAGCATTGACTGTATGATACGTCAGGATATGTACCCCCAGGGACCCTTGAAAGAGGTTCTAAAACTGGGCAGATCAGGGGTATCTACAACATTTCCTAAGTGTGTGCTCAGATCCCTAGTCATTTATTGCTCTTGTAATTCTGTCTGAATAAACATCTTAGCTCTGTAAACCTAGTGCAGCTTTGTGAAATGAAGCACCAAGTAACAATCACTGTGGTTGTGTGTTTCTCCTGCTATTACCACCACTTATCATCACTTACCTTGGGGCAAGGCACAGCGCACCAGAAGTATACAAACTTCACACAAACCTGCATCAGAATTTCTGAATAATAAGCAAGTTCTTCCCGTGGTTCTTATTTTAGCATATGGATCCCCCTCTTACACAGGAAGCATCCAGTGGTGAAGTGACTCAACAAACATCACCAAATACAGGATCTGAACTCAGTCAGACTTCAGAACTGGGCTCTTAACTGCTTTGCCTCTCAAGGATCAGTGATTAAGCTTGTGGTTAAAAAAAAAGGTGCAAAAGCAAATGAGATTGCCTTTCAAACCCACCGAACTGCATAATGTTATACCGTTTTCCAAACCACTAAGCTATGTAAACATACAGAAAAGTTTCTTTTGATATGCCCTCTGAAATGCACACAGTATTTTTATTTTAACAAGATTTAAGTATCTTTTAGCAATTTGAATGCTTCATCAAACGGCACTGCCTGTATTAGGAGGCCACCAAACCCCTGCAGTCATTAGTCAAACACGGGAAACTCAAAGCGGAGCAGGTCCTCTTACCACAAGAGGCTGACTTCCTGTCCACGATGTTCACTCGCCTGGTTTCTGTGCGAAGTTTTTCATCTGTGTTCTCCACTAGGTTGGCAAGGTCATCAATTATCTCTAGGAAGAAACGCAGAGATACATGATGAACACTCCTGAAATATTCTGGTTAATATCACAGCACCATAGCTATGGGGGTTCTTCCCAGTAATCATTCTCTCATGTTCAGCCAATGAAAAGGCACAGAACTCAGGTAGATTCTTTCAAAACTGCAGTTCTGACTCAGGAAACAAAAAAAAAAAGAGTAGTCATGAAGAAAAACACTGGTCTAAAGGATTCCAGAAGACAGGAAAGAAACACCAAGTTCAGGGGAAAGAAAGCATGATGCACCGAAATTTATGCCCAGCCAAGTTGTCATTTAACATATGGTGATAGACAGACAGTACAGAAAACATGGGGGACTACCTGACCCTTCCTGAGCAAACTACTTGATGAAGAAATCGAGCCAACCAACAGATGAATAAAAATAAAGAATTCTTGGCTTGGCGACCATAGCTTAGGGTGCCAGCCACACACATCGAGGCAGGTGGGTTCAAACCTGGCCCAGGCCTGCTAAACAACAATGACAACTGCAACCAAAAAATAACTGGGAATTGTGACAGGTGCCCGTAAGTCCCATTTACTCGGGAAGCTGAGGCAAAAGAATCACTTGAGCCAAAGACTTTGAGGTTGCTGTGACCTGTGATGCCATAGCACTCTACCGAGGGCGACAAAGTGACAGATACTCTGTCTCAAAAAATAAATAAATAAAATAAAATAAAAAATTCTTATGCAGAAACCAGAGACTACGGCATAAGAAATGATGGTAAGGGGGAGGGAGGCAAGATGGCCGACTGAAGCCAGCTTTTGGCAGAGGCTCCCGTCCAAAGGGAGAAATGATGGCCAGAAATAACCCAAAAAAGCAGAAGATCGGGAGCTGAGCTGAGAGAGGAATGATAGGTTCACATCACCCCTGCTGCAACAGGCTGGGACAAGGAAACAAATTTCAGGTACAAAACCCATCCCAAAGAGGACGAGAATCCTTCCCCTCCCCACCCCCCCACCCCCCAGGAGAGCGGCTTTAGGTGAGTAAACAACAGAGGACCTTTTGTTTCACCAAATGGGAGAGAATGACTGAGGGCCAGGACTCTTTCCACAGAGAGATACCGCTGCAAGCCCAGGCAGTCTCTTGCCTGGGGTAAAAGTTGATCTAATATTCTCCCTACCTTCCTGAATTCCCAATCCACTCCCCCCCTCTCCTGGAGGTCTGGAAGACTACCCCCTGCAAAATCCAGAGCATTTGGCAGATTTTTACTAGGGTGGGGGCCCTCTTGAGCTGTGGGACAGTTGCACTATAACTTTAATAGAGGCAGGAGTCACAGGGGAGAGAGACTTGCCCTGTGTTGGAAAGATGATAGTTCAGGTCCGCGCTACTGAACCACCAGGAACCATGGCCCACTGGCTCTCTGGCTCAGCAGCTTACGGTGGGCAGCCTGGCTACCTACTGGGCTCTTACAACCAGCAGCTGTAGTGGTGACTCCTGCCTGGTTCCTGAGACCCACAACCTGCAGCTGAATCCCACCCAGCTCCTGTGACCTGTGCAGCCCACAGCCAGCCACTCTCGCCTGGCTCCTGAGACATGCGACTGGTGGCTGGCAAATCCCACCCAGGCCTTGCCACCCATGGCTGGAGACTCCTACCCAGTTCCTGCAACCCAAGGCCCACAGCAGGCGACTCCCACCAGCTCCTGCGACCCATACGCCCACAGCAGGAGAATCTGCCCTCTGGCTCCCTGTATGGCTCCTGCGACCAGGGGCCAGCAACTCCCACCTGGCTCCAGCAACCCCTGAAACCCCAGGCTGTCACACATCCCTTTGGCTCCCTGCCCTGCTCCTGCACCTGAGGCCAGGGGTCAGCAGCTCCGCCCTCTGGTTCTCTGTCTGGCTCCTGTGACCCTTGTGGCCCGTGGCAATGCCCTCCAGTTCCCCAGACTGGCACCACCAACCCAGATGGTGGCAGCTCTGCCCCTGACAGTGGTGACAGCTCCACGGTCCATCCTGCTGGGGTCAAATTCTGCTGCCAGTGGACCCCACTGCCTAGATGCTAAAGACCTTTTGAACTCTCCCACTTGATGAGTGTTTATGTCTACCAGGACAAATGGCTTGGATCTCTTGACCTGGGCTGATCACCCAGGGACCCATCAAGGTTGTACCCCAGTTGTGTTGTTGTGGGAGTGAGGGAGTCTCCCCTTCCAGTTGTTGCCTATGGGGGGCAGGTTGTCTTAGTTGCTTATATATCTCCACAGCTGAGATTTCAGCCCAAAGCCACTGATTCCCTAGGATTGAACAGAGACTAGTTGAATACTGGTCAGCACTATCTAGCCCCACCACACCAAGCAAGTGCCCAGAGTTTCAGGCAGTAGTTCTGAATGGGACCTTTGTAAAGTTCTTAGGGAAAAGTTGCAATCACCAGTCCTAGTTCCTTGGTAAAGGGATGGTTAATTACAACTCTAGAAGCCCTCAATTCAATTTCACCTCACCAGCTTCTCTAGCCAAAAGGTGAAAAATAATCATGGGGAGGAATTAGCGGAAAAACTCTGGCAACATGAATAACCAGAGTAGATAAACTCCCCCAAGGAATGACAAAGGAGACACAATAGATCTCATTCATAAACAAATAGCTGCAATGTCAGAAATCGAATTCAGAATCTGGATTGCAAATAAGATTAATGGAATGGAGGTAAAGATGGAATTAGAAATTCAAGAAGCAATTCAAAAGTTGCCTCAAGAATTCAATGAATCCAAAGACAAAATCACCAAAGATTTTTGACATATTGAGGCAAGAACTTGCAGCCCTCAAAGACCTGAGGAAATACAGTAGAATCCCTCAGTAACAGAATGAAGCAGGCAGAAGAAAGGATCTCTGACATTGAAGACAAAGCTTTTGAACACTCTCAAATGCTGAAAGAGGAAGAGAAGTGGAGAGTAAAAACGGATCATACCCTAAGAGAACTGAGGGACCACTCCAATAAAGCAAACATTTCTCTCATAGGAATCCCTGAAGGAGAAGTGGATGGTCCGAAAGGCACAGAAACTCTACTTCAAGAGATAATTGGGGAGAACTTCCTAAGCATAACAAGAGATACTGAAATTCAGATAGCAGACAGTTTCAGAACTCCAGCATGACTCAACCTAAATAAAGCATCTTCTAGACACATTGTAATTAACTTCACCAGGGTTAATATGGAGAAAATCCTGCAAGCAACCAGATGTAAGAAAATCATAACCTACCAGGGGAAGAGTAGTAGAATGACTGCAGATCTTTCTGCTGAAACTTTTCAAGCCAGAAGATGGTCATCAACCTTCAATCTCCTAAAACAAAACAACTTTCAGCCCAGGATCCTGTATCCAGCTAAATTGAGCTTCATTTATGACGAAGAAGTTAAATACTTTAATGACATACACATGTTGAAGAAACTTGCCATGACCAAACCAGCTCTTCAGGATATCCTCAGACCCATCCTCCATAATGACCAGCACAATGCTCTACCACCAAAGTAAACTCACTCTGAAATTCTTGACCAAAACACAATTTCCACAGTGGTGAAAAGATTCAAAATGTCCACTGGACTTTCAAATAATTTGACACCCAAAATACTACTTGGCTTATCAATACTCTCAATTAATATGAATGGCTTAAACTGTCCTCTTAAGAGGCACAGGTTGGCTGACTGGATACAAAAACTCAAGCCAGATATCTGCTACATACAAGAATCTCATCTTATCTTAAAGGATAAATATAGACTCAGGGTGAGAGGATGGGCATGTGTAATCCAGGCAAATGCAAATCAGAAAAAAGCAGGGGTGGCAATTTTATTTGTAGATACACTAGGCTTTAAACCAAGAAAGGTAAGGAAAGACAAGGATGGTCACTTCATATTTGTTAAAGGAAACACTCAACATGATGAGATGTCAATTATTAACATTACACGCCCAACCAGAATGCTCCTCAATTTATAAGGGAGACCCTAACAGACATGAGCAATTTAATATCTTCCAGCATCATAAGTTGGAGATTTTAACACCCCTTTGGCAGTGTTGGATAGATCCTCCAATAAGAAACTAAGCAAGGAAATTTTGGGCTTAAACTTCACCATACGACAATTGAATTTAACAGACATCTACAGAACATTTCATCCTAACACAACTGAATACACATTCTTCTCATCAGTTCATGGAACATCCTCCAAAATTGATCACCTCTTAGGTCACAAGTCTAACCTCAGCAAATTCAAAAGTTTAGAAATTATTCCTTGTATTTTCTCAGATCATCATGCAATAAAAGTTGAACTCACCAATAATAGGTATCTGCATACTCATACAAAGACATGGAAACTAAATAACCCTATGCTGAATGATAGCTGGGTCATAGATGAGATTAAGAAGGAAACTGCCAAATTTTTGGAACAAAACAATAATGAAGACATGAATTATCAGAACCTGTGGGATACTGCAAAGGCAGTCCTAAGAGGGAAATTTATAGCATTTCAAGCCTTCTTGAAGAGAATGTAAGGAGAGAAAGTCCATAACCTAATGGGACATCTTAAGCAACTAGAAAAGGAAGAATATTCCAACCCCAAACCCAGCAGAAGAAAAGAATAACTAAAATTAGAGCAGAATTAAATGAAATTTTAAAAAAGTATTATTCAAAAAATCAATGAATTAAAAAGTTGTTTTTTTAAAAAATTCAACAACGTTGATAAACCTTTGGCCAACTTAACCAAAAATAGAAAATTAAAGTCCATAGTATCATCAGTCAGAAATGACAAAGGCAAAATAACAACAGACACCTCAGAAATTCAAAAAATCCTTAATGAATCCTACAAAAAACTTTATTCTCAGAAATATGAAAATCTGACTGAAACTGACCAATACTGGGAAGCACGCCAACTTCCTAGACTTCATCAGAAAGAATTCTGAACAAACCTATATCAAGTACTGAAATAGAATCAACTATATGAAATCTCTGAAAAAAGAAAAGTCCAAGGCCAGACAGCTTCACATCAGAATTCTACCAAACCT